ACCAAGACAGTGGAATAGTGGCCGATACCTAAAGATAAACATGAACTACGAAGCTTTTTGGGACTATGCACATACTATCGCCGCTATGTACAGGGTTTCGCCACCATCGCAAAACCATTAGCAGACTTACCGAAGGCGAGAGGCGTTTCTCTTGGGTCTCAGATTCTGACGAGGCATTCCGAAAATTGAAGAAGGTCCTGACTAGTGCGCCCATACTTCTACCAGCTACCCTCTTGGCAACGGAAACTTTATATTGGATACCGACGCTAGCAATGTTGCGTTAGGCGCTGTTCTGTCTCAGATCCAGGATGGTCAAGAAAAAGTCATTGGTTATTTTAGTAAGACCTTGTCAAAACCGGAAAGGAACTACTGTGTAACTAGACGAGAATTACTAGCAGTAGTTAAAGCAGTGGAACACTTCTACAAGTATCTCTATGGAAGAAAGTTCTTGTTAAGAACAGACCATGCTGCTTTGAAATGGGTGTTGCAGTTTAAGAATCCTGAAGGGCAGGTAGCTAGATGGATTGAACGATTACAAGAATTTGACTTCGACACAGAACATCGAGCTGGGGCAATCCATCGAAATGCCGACGCACTTTCCAGAAGACCTTGCGCTAAGGACTGTAAGCATTGTTCCCGAGCAGAAGAGAAAGAAGTGAAACTCCTAAGAACAACTGTGGTTAATGATAGCTGGCAACCCGAAGATCTTGCAAATGACCAAACCAGTGACCCAGAATTAGATTTAGTAATTAACTGGAAAAACGCAGGCCAAAGACCAACGTGGGAAGAACTTTGCAGATATTCGCCGAACGTAAAGTCGTACTGGGCTCAGTGGGATTCCTTGGTAATAGATAACGGACTACTTCGCCGTGTGATCGAGAGACCGGAGGGACAAGAAGAGAGAAGGCAGATCGTCATTCCAAAGAAGAGGGTCCCACAAGTCTTGGAGGAAGTTCACAATGGAACCAGCGGTGGACATCTTGGTGTTACCAAGACACTTGGCAAGCTGCGTGAACGGTTCTACTGGGTGAACTGCAAAGAAGATGTGAGGGCCTGGTGTAAGAAATGTGACATTTGCGCAGCCATCAATGGGCCACAAAAGCGTGGTAAAGCCCCTATGCGCCAGTACAATGTTGGTAGTCCCTTCGAACGAATAGCGATCGACGTGGCTGGTCCTTTCCCGGAGACGAACGATGGCAACAAATACATTGTGGTAGTAATGGATTACTTCAGCAAATGGGTCGAGGCCTACGCGTTGCCAAATCAAGAAGCGTCCACGATTGCTGATGCCCTTGTTAAAGAATGGATCTGCAGGTTTGGTGTTCCCATGGAGCTTCATTCAGATCAGGGAAGAAACTTTGAGTCCAATCTGTTCCAAGGCGTCTGTGAAGTCCTGAACATCCGCAAGACCAGGACGACTGCTCTACATCCACAATCCGATGGGATGGTTGAACGCATGAACAGAACTATCAACCGTTATCTGGCCAAAGTAGTCTCTGACCACCAAAGAGACTGGGACAAATTTCTTCACCTGTTCCTGTTGGCCTACCGTTCATCCGTCCAAGAATCTACAGGGCAAACTCCAGCCAGCATCGTTATGGGACGGGAAGTGCGCCTACCCTGTGATCTGAAATTTGGTTGCCGACCGGGAGAAGAAGTCGCCGGAGAAGATTATGTCCACACACTACGTCAAAGGATGGACGACATTCATCAGAGAGTCCGCCTAAATATTCAAAGTGCTAGTGACCGAATGAAGGAACACTACGACATTCAAGCTGAGCATGGAGGATACCAACCAGGGAAGTTGGTGTGGCTATATAACCCGCAGAGACGTCGTGGGTTATCTCCGAAGCTACAATCCTCGTGGGAAGGGCCATACGAAGTCATGGATAGAATTAATGACGTCGTATACCGTATCAGAAAATTGCCAAAAGGAAAACCGAGGGTAGTCCATTTCAACCGTTTGAGCCCCTACCAAGGCGAAATAGAAGATCGTGCTGGGACCGTGAGAACCTGCAGCTTTGATCCCCCTGATTCGGAGATGTCCTTTGACGATTTCATGGCCCGATACAACAGCAGTGAGAAGGCTCGCTATGGTGTAACCAAAGAAGATCAACGAGACCTCTTTTCCGTGCCTCCTGATTATTCGCTCGCTCATTGTGTGGCTCGAGATTTGCGGATGTCCAGAGGAATCGCTGCGACGTTCAATGAGAAGTTTGGGCGTGTCGGAGAACTACGCCGACAGGATCCAGAGGTTGGAAGCGTCTTGAGGCTAACCGACAATGCACATGGTCAAGCAAGGCACATCTTCTACCTGGTCACCAAGGAATGGTCCCCGAGTAAGCCGACTTATCTCAATCTATGGAAGACCCTGATTGAACTGAGAGAAGCCCTGCTAAACAACAACATTGCACGATTAGCCATTCCGAAGCTGGCGTGTGGACTCGATGGTTTGAGTTGGCGTACAATCCGGAACATGATTGAGGACTATTCTACGATCTATGGACTATTCTAGAGTTCTTTACCTGTCGGTATAAAAGCCGGCGGCTGTGGCCTACAGGGGGCAGTTATAAATAAACAGTACAGTTGACGCGCTAAAGTTCAAAATAAATTCTTAGTTATAAATCGTTTGTAAATAGTTCTATAAGCCTTTTATCGTTATTGTTTTTGTTAATTAGTGTTAAATAAATAGTGTTTAAATAAATTGTGACTTTCTATCCACACGGAACCGACGAAAAACGTAACAATAACATAAAAATATCAACCCCCTAAGCATAGAAGTTGAAAGCAATGTAATTAAAAAAATATATATTTACTCTTCCGCGTAACTTTGTGGATATAGGTATATTTAACTATTGTCAAATCTCATAATAGGTAATTTATTTAAAATCCCTAATCACCCGAAAAAATTCAAATATTTGTCTCTCTCATTACATAGGAGAGAGAAAGAAGAATATATGAAATGTCAGCTTCCATCTGGTCTCAATTTTCTTTGTTATTTTGTTAAAAAAGTGTTTTTCAGTAAAATTTTGGACATTTTTCAATCCTCAATCAAGTGTGCCTTTTAGATAAACTATGATATAATAAAAATATAGTGAAATTATTACTTTATAGGGCTGAAATAAAGAAAAATTCAATGTTGAAATTATTTTCCGTTTTTCTGAAAAACGGTAAGAGACCGCTGGTTGGTTAGGTTTGGTCAGATTCGTAATCTACGACCTCAAAATAGGGTGTATACCAATTTTGGTAAAAATAGGACGATTTCCAGTTTTCCCAATAATTACCCATTTATATCATATAAATTTCTATCATAAAATATAAACAATAGTAAAAAGAAATCATAAAAATATACATAATAATTTTATGATTTGAAATATCCGACCTTAGTGCGGTCCTGGTTATATTACTACAGCGTTCCTGTTCACGTGCTTGCCTCATGTCTCTGTTTACGTTTGGTGCATCTTGGGGTTGAATTTACTATAATATCGGTATCTGGAGCTCAATTTTTTATCAAAAACATGATGGCGAAAACCGCATATCGATATCTGTTACCGTTTCGGAGTTGGGGTGTTTTTCGCTGTAACTTTCTTGCTATGGAAAATTTTTATGATAACATTTCCAAAGCACCTTTTTCCGTAGAATGTAATGGTTTAAGTGTATTTTTTTAAATTAATAATTTAAGAATTATCAACAGAAAATTTGATTTTTTATATGGGACACTCTGTATATTTTTAATTTATTGAAAAGAATTTAAAATTACCTTTCCAAAAATATAGCACACTTGATATTTTGCTCGATTCCTCTTCGAGATATAGAGTTTATAAAAATTCGCCCACTTTAAATAAGTAGGCTTTGAACGGTGCGGGCTGTAATGCAAATAAGTAGTAAGTCGTAATAGTCTAGCTGTGAGAATCAATTAAAACGAAAATAATATTTGCAATGAGAGAATTTTATAACAATTTAAACTATATTTAATGAACATCTACACATTTAAACTATATCTAATAACAATAAAAATAAATAGCAAACCAAGACATGAAATTGTGCTATAGGTGTTCGACGTATCTGGCCTATTATGGACAGAAGGGGCCGTTTTTGAACATTTCTAGCGGAATTCATTAACTCAGTGAGGGTGAAAGATACCCTCTCATAACTTCTAAGTATTTATAATTCTTGTCTAGATTATATGAACAATTTAAAAATAAGAACCTTTATTCTTCCGTACAGATATCGATAGGATTAGATCCATAGGCACTATGTCCGGTGGCCTCGACGGCCAACGGCTGGGATCTGGGTTAGCTAATCAATTATTCTTGAAATTGGCTGCAAAAATTTGCTGGAAACTTCAGCGTTCTCAGGCGGTGCCTGGTCTTGCTGGAAAAATATATTTTCGAGTTCCATTAGATAGAGATAGATAAGGGGGGGTCCAAAGCCTACTAGTTATAAGTGGCGAACTTTAAAAAATTCTGTATTTCGAAGGGAACTATAACAAAATACCAAGTGTGCTATATTTTTGGAAAGGTAATTTTAAGTTATTTTCAGTTAATTAAAAATATACAGGGTGTCCCAAATAAAAAATAAATTTTTCCGTTAATAACTCTTAAATTATTAATTTAAAAAAAATATACTTAAACCATTAAATTATACATAAAAACGTGCTTTGGAAATGTTTTCATAGAAATACAAAATTTTCCATATCAAAAAAAGTTACAGCGGTTTGGTAAATATGCACATTTTTGAAAAACACCCCGTAACTCCGAAGATATCGATGTGCGGTTTTCACCATCATGTTTTTGATGAAAATTGAGCTCAGGACACCGATATTAGTTTTCGTCTATCTGCTATAGAAAAGGGTGTTTCCCTTTAAAAGCGTCCAATTTGACCCACCCTGTACATATATTTTTCATGCCAACTCTGTGTTCTCACTCTATCACTCTCACTCTCTCTCTCTCTCTCTCTCTCTCTCTCTTTTTCTTTAAATCCATTAAATTCATACATACCAATTTTAAACTATCCAATGTCAAATACAAATCTTCAGTTGGTTCTTCCTTTTGTACAAAACTTCTCGATGTAGGATACTTTTCCTCAGTTCCTGAAGAGATGACGTTTGTATTATTTACATTACTGTCAATTAACCATTTCCACTGGAATTCCCCTAAAGTTTTATACATAAAAGTAAAATAGAGACATATTATTAGGGGAGCCAGGTATTGGAGAGCTACGACACATAAGTAATAAAATACCGCTGCTATCTGCAACAAAATATTTCTCTATTAGTCTAATTTTACTGCCCAACCTAAAATATAATGTTATAAGTTAAAAAAATTAATGTAGTAGATTGTTAAAGTAGGAATTTAACGTGTGGTACCAATTTCTTGGTCAATTTCAGCTAGATAGCTGCCATACTAGTACATCTCCAATTCAGATAATTGTTAATATTGTAATAAGTATTATTAATTTTTAGGCTTAATTTAATTCTATTGTAAATCAATGTTCAATGTTCCGGGTCTATTAGGCTTTATGCCAAGACTTTGTTATAATTATGGATCAATTAATATTTTTATTAAAATATTATTTTTTAAGCTTATTACATTAAAATCACATGCGAATTACATGCCGCATTGTTTTTTTCACATGATATATGCAAAATTCGTGTACATAAAACAAGTTGACATCTAGTTTTAGTGTTTTAGTATATCTGAAAGCACAATATAACATATGACGCCGTTTTTTTTTAAATGAGAATCGCTGTCATTTTATATGTAACATTATATGGGAATTCACAAGCCATTTCCAAGCAAGAACATTTCCAAGCCAACTGGACGCCGTTTTTTTTCGATCATACGGTACTACAATCTTGAAAATAAATACCAAATTGTCCCCATATGATTTTTCTGGATAGATTTGATTTCTCTTTAAATAGCAGAAATTTAAAGACCCACATTGTTTTATCATAAGTATATTAACATAAAGATTGATTTGACATGTTCTCTTATTAATCTGCAAACCAGCATTCAAAACTCAAACAAAAAATTCTATCTTACTTTTGTAAACAGTTATAATATTGTCAAGGTGTACGACGACATCTGTCGGCAGAGCAAAAAAACACTAAGCGTGTTTATTGATGGTTTATTATGTAGTTATTATATATTATGTTTTAGTTATGTATTAAATATACAGATGCATATATAAGAGAATAAAAGTAACATAACCAAACATTACCCAAAAATCTTTGTTTTTATTTTTTAGAATATAAAACAATTATTTTTATATATTAGAGGCCCAGTCTATTCCTGCTGAATAAAAATCGATAATTTATTTCATGTGACATGTGATGTGACAAAAATTAAAATAAAATTTGTTCATCTTAGATCTTATTTGTTTTTATTAATATAAGATTGTGGGGATACGTGCCTTTTATTCCCTCACTGGGTACCTATTCTTGAAAGCGAGAGAAGGGAGTGGTCCCTGGGAGCTCCCGGGGAATGCTCCCTCACTCGACCTCCCTGAAAACGAAATGTCGTATTCTTGAAGTACCGGACGCACCGAGGAGTATAAGGGAGGAAGTAGAATCGGAGAACAGCGTTGCCGGTTTGTACAACCAATAGAATTACGCAAATCTTGACAGACAGCGGCTTACTTATTCTATAGTCAGCGACTTCGGCTTGCGTACATCGCGTCTAGAGATATAATTTACTTTAAAACACAGCTTTAAAACGTAAAATTTCGAACGATTGCAAATGTAGGTTGATTTGTTTGTGTCCCAAGTCTTTGCGCCTCCCGTAAGATCAACAAAAGGGCTTTTTTGCTTGTCTTGCACTTTAGTCAATACAGAAACTTTATTCAGAGACGTATTATTTTCAAATTAAGGACATTAATACAGCGGGTGCAAACAAAAACGACTAATATCTAAATTTAAAATTGTTCAAAAAATATATATACTTTTTGGAGTTTTTTTATCCATATTCAAAGCCATATATTCTACTATAACCGTAATTTATACATAAGAAAACTTTATTGATTTTTTATTAAGAGAAGATAAATGTTCTCTTTTTATACCTTAATTTTGGTTCTCTAACAAATGCACATTTACTAATTTTAAAAATGACATGTTTAAATTTCTATCCACCCTGTATAAAACATTTTTACACACATTTAAAGAAACATTTTTATCTATAAATATTAAGTCTGTAACAGCCGAGTAAACAAAAAACATCGTAAATAAATACGGTAAGTTGGGTTAGGTATGCTCTCTCCCTCGCTTTATAGTAAGAGAACTTTTAACTCCCTAGCAACTCCCCAGTTTCTTACCCCTCCCACAATATTTTTCAAGAATACTACCAGTTTTATGATTACCACGCCCGCTTCTCTCGGGAGTTCTACTCCCTGAAACTCAAGAATAGGTGCCCTGGGTACCTATTCTTGAAAGCGAGAGAAGGGAGTGGTCCCTGGGAGCTCCCGGGGAATGCTCCCTCACTCGACCTCCCTGAAAACGAAATGTCGTATTTTTGAAGTACCGGACGCACCGAGGAGTATAAGGGAGGAAGTAGAATCGGAGAACAGCGTTGCCAGTTTGTACAACCAATAGAATTACAGCAAATCTTGACAGACAGCGGCTTACTTATTCTATGGTCAGCGACTTCGGCTTGCGTACATCGCGTCTAGAGATATAATTTACTTTAAAACGTAAATTTTCGAACGATTACAAATGTAGGTTGATTTGTTTGTGTCCCAAGTCTTTGCGCCTCCCGTAAGATCAACAAAAGGGCTTTTTTGCTTGTCTTGCACTTTAGTCAATACAGAAACTTTATTCAGAGACGTATTATTTTCAAATTAAGGACATTAATACAGCGGGTGCAAACAAAAACGACTAATATCTAAATTTAAAATTGTTCAAAAAATATATATACTTTTTGGAGTTTTTATCCATATTCAAAGCCATATATTCCACTATAACCGTAATTTATACATAATAAAACTTAATTGATTTTTTATTAAGAGAAGATAAATGTTCTCTTTTTATACTTTAATTTTGGTTCTCAAACAAATGCACATTTACTAATTTTAAAAATGGCATGTTTAAATTTCGATCCACCCTGTATAAAACATTTTTTACACACATTTAAAGAAACATTTTTGTCTATAAATATTAAGTCTGTAACAGCCAAGTAAACAAAAAACATCGTAAATAAATACGGTAAGTTGGGTTAGGTTTGCTCTCTCCCTCGCTTTATAGTAGGAGAACTTTTAACTCCCTAGCAACTCCCCCGTTTCTTACTCCCTCCCACAATATTTTTCAAGAATACGGAAACTACCAGTTTTATGATTACCACGCCCATTTCTCTCGGGAGTTCTACTCCCTGAAACTCAAGAATAGGTACCCAGGGAGGGTATTTGTTATAAGTTACCTTTTTTTGAAATTCAATATTTGTGATCCGTCCTGCTTCCTTTTTTTGGTCTTCAGTTCTATGATAAGCCATATCTAAATATGCTTGCAGATACCATGGCATAAGATAGACTTTTACGCAAACAGTAAAAATTATTATTATCAGTCTTAATATTTCAAAATTATTATCTGATAAACTAAAATATTTATAATTAAAAAATATCACTGTTTCAATAATCTGACTTACAGTGGCATATTTCTTCCAGAAAATATTCGAACAGTTAAATAGTCTCTTGAAATTGGCTTTATCCATAATATAACTATGATGAATGGTAAAGCAAAACTTATATTAAGAAGTATTTGTTTAACCCTATTTTCTTTGAAATACCTAAAACAAATAAAACTAAAAATCTGTACAGGGTGTCCCAGTGTCCCATTTTGGTTGAAATCATACGGTATCTCCGTTATTAGTAAGGATAGGAGGATGCGGTTTCTTAAACATGTCCCACTTCTTTTGCCAAACGGAAGATGCTGTAAACAAAATTTTCATAGTCCTCTTCGTTTCTGACCTACAGAGTCTTTTCGAAAATTCTGCAGTTTGGGACAGCCCCCGTATTTCCATTATCGTGAACGATATCGAGAAGATGAAAGCTGATTCCTGTAGAACTTTTTACGTAGAATACAGTGGCGTAGTCTGTTTTTCTACGAAAAAATATTCTTGAATATATGAACTAAAACTGAAGTTATGTTTTTTTATATATTTATATATCCTATATACCTATATATTTATAAATCGTATGATCCATCTTGCATTGAGCTTTTCAAAAATATATTTCACCCTATATTCATTTTCACTATTTACTGCAATATTTAAAAGAGATCACTTTCTTATTAGTAGGCCGTGATACATAACAAAAAAATCAAAATTGTATTTACTAAAACAGTCATACACACATATTAAAATTTTATTTGGGATTGAAATATTTTACTTTTGAACCGTTATCACTGAATCTCTGAATATACATATGTATAATTCTTTTTTTACCACGGGATTTATTATAACGGATGGGTTTGCAAAGATCTAAAAGTCTTTTCTTATATATCTAAAAGTCTTCTCTCAGAATTTTCCAGGTGTTCGATAGATTCCAAGATATAAAGAGTTTATAGTGGCTCCCAAAATAAAACAAGAGACAGATAGCAGTATACTTTTATATCATGGCCTACTAATAAATATGATCTTTTAATAAAATCTTTTAAATATTGCAGTAAATAGTGAAAATAAATATAGAGTGATATACAGGGTGAAGCACCTCATTCGCCTCGGTTGATTATACGAAAACAGAAAGATGTAGAAACAAAATATTTTATGGCTATATGTGGGAAGGCAATGTGCATAATTTAAAGTTATTTTGAAATGTACAGGGTTTGTCAGAACTAAGATCCATACTAAAGTTATTTTTTTCTATGAAACACCCGGTATTTTATTTTATTTTGGAATTATTGGACATAAAATATGGCATTTATTATAAGGCTCTAATATGTTTAAAAGCTTTGGTTTTTGACATATTTAAAGATACTTAAATATACATGCTATAATAAAAAAGTTTGCCAAGACCTTGTGCATTACTTTTCAGAATTAATTCTTGTGCTGACTTGAAGTCAGAGAAATAAACTTTACTAAAAAAATTTGATTACTTCCTTAAATGTATAGAGGGGTATCAAAAATTGCTGGTCTATTTTATATATTTATTTTACATAAAAACTTCGTTATTTTAAATGCAACACTATGTATTTTTTTAAATAAGTCAAAGCATATTAAACGCTCTTTCAAACTAGATTAGGGACTCTTATGCCTATCTGTCTCAGATTCTGAATAAAAAGCGATTTTTCAATATAATGTAATCAAGATGGCTGGTGTCCCCATGGCAATTTTCTAGTGACACTAAGTAGCTATTTTCAAAATCTACATTAGTTTATGGACTTTATTTAAATTTATAACAGGTTATTTTTATTTAAAGGTGTCCGGTGGCGTAGAGGTACAGGCTCGTCTACCAATCTCAAGGTAGTGGATTCGAATCCCACACCCGGCATCTCATTTGCCGACTATTTTTATTTAAATAAAAATAGTTTGGGTACCTAGGTCGACTCAGCCTTAAATGAGTACTTGGGATTCACGATCCTGAGGTAATAATAGGCGGTTGAAGCGTAGTGCTAGCCACATTACCTTCCTTGTATACCGAACGGCTCTAGTAAGGCAAGCTGTACCTTGCTACTCCCAAAGCGTTAAACGCTATATACGGGAGCTATAATTTATATTATTATATTTTTATTTAATTTGCCTACAATAAGGTTAATAAGTAAGTATATTTTTTTTATTTATTATTTTATCGAGAAAAATGAAGCAGTATCTGCTGGCGGAAGGAATAGATATGTTACTAGTGATTTTATTTTGCGAGGACAATTGCTTGAAGGGTTTATACTCAAAGATATCCAAATAGGAATTTTCTTGACAAGCGTTCCTTTGAAAAACTACTTTTCCTTTATTGCAGAGCTGATAGTGTGGTATATGAAAAACCTATTAGGCAGAAGCCTGTCGTTAGAAGTGAAGAAAATGAATTTGCCTTAATTGGCTCTTTTATAGAAGATTACCTACAAGCACAGAATATCTAGCTACGCAACAGAAGCCTCGTTACATGTATAAAATTGTAGGTAGCAAAAGGAGACAGGCTTTAAAAGTCTGTCTCCAAATCAGATATTTTGATGTGGTAGTTTCGCTACTACATAATAGAGGGCAATAAATTTAAAAGAAAACAGTTTTCTACAAACAAAATTTAAAAGAATTTTGTGCAGTGTTGCCATTGTGTAATTCATATCGTAATACTTCCTGATAAAGCCTACCTTCAAATTTGCTACATCATTTAAACATATTAAAATAGATCACAGCTGTTTTTTTTCAGAAGCATATCAAGTGATACCATAATATAGTACGATATTACGATACATGGCGTTCGATTGGGCTTAAACTTGGTATACTATATCTTCAGTGACATTGTAATATCATGGTACCATGGAGCATATAAAGTGGTACCTTCTATAGTACCATATTTGATAACATAGCAATATTAGGTCCATGGCGGCAATAGGGCTTAAACTTGTTATACTACGTATTTTCGGTGACATTGTAATATGATGGTACTATGATGCATATCATCTGGTACCATAATATAGTACCATATTATGTACATGGCGTTCGATTGGGCTTAAATTTGGGATACTACGTATCTTCGGTGATATTGTAATATTATGGTACCATGGAGCATAATAAGAGGTACCATAATATAGTACCATATTACGATACCATTTCCTGGCGTTCGATTGGACTTAAACTTGTTATACTACGTATCTTCGGTTACATTGTAATATGATGGTACTATAATGCATATAAAGTGGTACCTTAATATAGTACCATATTTTAATACCATTTCCTGGCGTTCGATTAAGCTCATATTTGATATATACTTGCGTATTTTTGATGACATTGCATTATTATGGTACCATGAAGCATATCAACTGGTACCATAATATAGTACTATATTACGTACATGGCGTTCAATTGGGCTTAAACTTGGGATACTACGTATTTTCGGTGACATTGTAATATCATGGTACTATGATGCATATAAAGTGGTACCTTAATATAGTACCATATTACGATACCATTTCCTGGCGTTCGATTGGGCTCAAACTTGGTATACTACGTATCTTCGGTTACATTGTAATATGATTGAACTATGATGTATATAAAGTGGTACCTTAATATAGTACCATATTACGATACCATTTCATGGCGTTCGATTGGTCTTAAATTTGGTATACTACGGATCTTCGGTGACATTGCAATATTATGGTACCTTAAAGTATATCGAGTGGTACCATAATATAGTACACTATTATGATATCATTTCCTGGAGTTCGATTGGGCCCAAATTTGGTATACTTGCATTTCTTTATAAAGATTTGTTTAATTAATAATTTTAATTTATTTTATGAATTTTAATTTATTGTTCGATGTCGTGACAGCAACTTTTATGCCGAACTAATATATTATTAATTGTACCTGTGTCACTTTTTAAAATCTACCGAGGTCTATAATATATAAATAACGTGGCAAACGGAAGAAATTTGTTATTATAGTATTTTTTAGTCAGTTAACATTTTTTGTACTGTATTTTAATAAATTATTTCCGTATTTCATTACTAACGTTCCAGCATTAATAAATATCACTATCAATCGCCCTGTATATTATTAATTTTAAAGGTAATTAAAGGTATTTTCTTAGTTAACATTATAAGGTATAGTGTATATTAAAAATGTATATGTTTTGTAATAATATACTTAAAACTATTTTAATAGCCAAAGGAATAATTAATATAAGTGTATCTGACAAGAAAAGAAGAATAGAAAGAAACACATACTGCATTATACACAATAAAAAAGAATGGGATGCCAATTCAAGTCTTTTGAATCTGGCAACTGTGCATATTTAGCCGAGCTATAAGGCCGTCGACGAGCCGTGGATCCAAAACCGAAAGTTCAAAATTTCTAATTATATTCTGATTATGATATTGTCGCGCCATCTAGTATTCTATTTGTGCAATTTTAGCTCTTTCATTTCGAGTATTTTTCTGTTGCGTAGCTAGATATTCTGTGCTACAAGTCATCTTAATATAAATCAAAGATCTAGTTTATTTTTCTTCATAAAATAATAAATACTTACTTATTAAACTACTGTAGGTAAATTAAATAAAAAGTACTGGTTATAAATTTAAATAAAGTCCATAAACTATTGTCGATTTTGAAAATAGCTACTAACTGTCACTAGCAAATTGCCATGACAACACTAGCCATCTTGATTGCCATTTTATTGAAAAATCGCTTTTTATTCAAAATCTGAGCCAGATAGGTATAGGAAACCCTAATATGGTTTAAAAGAGTCATTAAATCTGCTTCGATGTGTTAAAATAGATATTTAAAATAGACTAGCAATTTTGGATGCCCCTGTATACATTTAAGGAAGCAATACATTTTTTTAGTAAAGTTTATTTCTCTGGCTTCAAGCCAGCACCAGAATTAACTCTGAAAAGTAATATACAGGGTGTTGACAAACTTTTTGATTATAGCGTGCATATTTAAATATCTCAAAAACCAAAGCATTTAAACATATTAAACCCTTATAATAAATGCCTTATTTTATGCCCAAGAATCCAAAAATGAAATAAAATACCGGGTGTTCCATAAGAAAAAATATAACTTTGGTACGGATCTTAGTTCTGACATACCCTGTACATTTGAAAATAATTTTAAATTATGCACATTGCCTCTCTACATATATCCATAAAAAAAATTATTTCTACATCCGTTCGTTCGCGTATAATCCACCGAGGCGAATGTGGTGCGCCACCCTGTAGATTTTTGAGAAGCTTATGACAAGCCAGATCATATAATTTATAAATATACAGGATGTTCCATTTAAGAAAACATAACTTTAGTTCGTATCTTTAAAAATATTATTTTCGTAAAATAAAATACTACGCCACTGTATTCTACGTAAAAAGTTCCACTTCTTCTCTATACGGAGGGTGTCCCAAATTGCGAAATTTTCAAAAAGACCTTGTAGCTCAGAAACTTAAAAAAAGAGGGCTATGAAAATTTTGTTTACGGTCTCTTCCGTTTGACAAGAAAGTGGGACAGGTTTGCGCAAACCGCACCCTTCTGTCTTCACTAATAACGGAGATATCGTATGATTTCAGCTAAAATGGGACACCCTGTACAGGGCGATACAGCGTCTCATAAAAACTTTACATCGCGTTTCTGATTTGAGATTTTCACTCCAAACTTTTTATAAAACATTCGGGCAGAGTTGCGCACATTTGCACATTTTTGTCTATGTACAGGGTGATTCAAAATTTCAAAGACATTTGCAAAGTAAAGTTATATATTTTTAAATGGAATGTTGTAGTTGGTTAGGTCATACCTATAGTTTTCCAGCCCAGTGGATATGCCCTTTCAATTTCATTTTCAAAACTACCATAATGTCAAATTCTATACCGAGTGGTTTTTGAAACATGTATAACCATGTTGAACTGTATTTTTATCATAAACAAAGATCATAAACGAACCGAGTCTTGTTTAAACTTTTTGTTTTAATTAGTACTGTATGATCGAAAAAAAAAACGGTGTCAGCGATGATTATGAAATGAAGATCGCTGTCATTTTATATGTAAATTTATATGGGAAATGTCATCGATCGTCATAAACATCATTTACCAGCCAACTGGACGCCATTTTTTTTCGATCATACGGTACTTTGTGTATATAAAATATATATTTAATGATTAATTACGTTTCATTTGAAAATATAACATAAAACTTGTCATTTGGCCTTTTTATAGTAGGCGTTTGATATTGAAATTGTTATACCTATCTGGAACCTGATGCAAAATAACCATAAAATGGAAAATAATTGAATGTCGATTTTGAATATAAAATTTGTTTATCAAGTATCAAAACATAAAGTTGGATAACTACGTAAATTTGTCATAAAATACAGGGTGTTCCATTTGAAATGATGGAGAAATATACATCAAGTTTTGTCTCACTCTGTATATACCATACAATACAGTGTATTTTGGATTTGTTTTTTTTTTAAATTTCGGTAAAGTTTTAAATACGCAAAAAACTTGAGCAAAAAAACCACTTTATATAGAATGACATGGTATTTTTAGAATTAAATTTTATTATATTATTTATTATATTTATGACAAATTCACTGAGGTACATAAATAAAATATAGTTTTCAATTCCATTTAAAAACATACAACCTGAGCTTGAACGTACTGACGACCAGGTCGGAGCGACCAGCATTTTATTTAATGGTATGTATTACTGGTCGCAGTGACCAAGATGTGACCGCTTGATTTCTATTTTTTATCATTTGATTAAATAGCCTGGCCATTAGCTGGGCGTTGCAACCTGGTCGTCAGTGCCTTTGAGCTCTTGGATTGAAAATCTGAATTGTTACTTTAATTGCCAAAATTATTATTTATTCTATATAATTTCTATATATTTTATAAAAAAAAAATTGGAACAAGAATTTCAAATAAAAAACCTGATATTAAACCTTTTAAAAACACTGACATCCTGTATAACTTAAAATCTCTAGCTTTATACCTTAACAGGTCCCAATGCATTTTAGCCATTCTTATACCAGGAAAAGTCAACACAGCTCCTAGTGTCGAACACCAAATGGCTACACAAAATTTAATAAAAATTTTTGACGCAGGACCTCTAAATGAAAATAGCAATTACATATTTATTAATTAATCAAATTTGAATTACACTTACGAAGAATAAAGTCCCTGCTTATTTAAAAATGTTGTTGCACTTTCATTAAAACAATTATATGCATTCTCTAATCCTATTTCAAGTGTATTTTCATCTATAATTAATACTATCATCGCAACTAACAAGTACATAAAACCCATAACAATACAGGTTGATCTTTCTCCTATAGATTCTTCCCCTTTAAAATACTGAACAGTTAAACTTAGTAGAAGTTTGCTACAGTGATATTAAGGTAAATTAAATTGCAAAAATTAGTTGTTTTCTCGAAAGCTATTATAAAAGGATACAACGCAAACAGAATTACAAGCAAACACCAAATCATACTTAAATTTACTTCATCTCTAATTGGAAACCATAACTGATATATCTAGAAGGGAAATTGTTAAATAAGGTAAAAAACTTAAATTCTCACTAAAAATATACTTCTGTAATAATATATACAACAAAGGCATATAGAGAAAAATCAACAAGCCATTGATATTCACTGTAAAACTTTAAATGTATAATATCCATATAACAAACTTTAGCAGTCTCTAACTGAACATCCAAACATCTATCAATGTGAAAAGTCTCAGAATTTTTTTCATTATAGTTTTTGGTTTTCTTTCCTTTATTTTTATCTTTTGGTATATTAGCTAATTGGCGTAGTTCTTCATTTGTTGGATAAAGATATCTTATTAAACCTGTAGAGCACATTAACCATTTTGCAAAAGAAAAATGTGCTCCTAATTTCTGAATAACACTTATCATAATAAGAGTTATGACTAATTGAGCACCAAGTAAAGCCTAGAATGAAGAAAATTATAACTGCATAGTAGCACAAATTAGCCCTTACCATTTCTTTAAATTATTTTCAGCACAAAACTATTACCTAAAATCATCCATACTAAGTTTATTTATAGAACGGCTCTACAAATTTTAGTTATGAACGCGTTAATGAACGGTCAGGACAATGGGCATAGTCAATTATTAAATTAAACATTGCTGCATATTAAAAACACTAAAAAAATTAAAAAGAATATTGAGAGGGTTGTTAGTATAGGTTTATTAGGTTCGCTGCCAGAATTGTTCATCCAGAAAATCCAGGTCCAGGATATAATGATATAATATCAATTCAACATTATACGAAAGTTTCAGATATTATTATGTTAAAGAGAAATAGGAATTTAAATAAACCACTATTTTATTCATGTTCATCAGAGATGTTCATGTTTTGTTGGTATACCGTTTTGTTTAGTGGGAAAAAATGATTTACTTATCTAGTGCAGAGTCTAGTGTTATTAAACTAAAAAGCCCGTTCTCAGAACTGCGTCGTGTCGACAGCGACACTGATTGACACTTCAAACGACCAATGGGAGCTGTACAAAATTCAAACAGCTGTCAATTTTAAATTTAGTACAGCTCCCATTGGTTGTTTGAAATGTCAAACTGTGTCGCCAGCGACACGACGTCGTTCTGAGAACGGGGCGGTACTAAATTTAAAATTTAGTACAGCTCCCATTGGTCGTTTGAAGTGTCAATCAGTGTCGCTGTCGACACGACGCAGTTCTGAGAACGGGGCTTTAAGCCCCGTTCTCAGAACAGCGATTGTCGCCAGATACACGTCAAAAGAACCAATGAGATTTGTACAAAATTCAAACAGCTGTCAATTTTAAATTTAGTACAGCTCCCATTGGTTGTTTGAAATGTCAAACTGTGTCGCCCGCGACACGACGTTGTTCTGAAGCCCCGTTCTCAGAACAGCGACTGTCGCCAGCGACACGTCAAGAGGACCAATGAGATTTGTACAAAATTCAAACCGCTGTCAATTTTAAATTTAGTACAGCTCCCATTGGTCGTGTGGTGACAATGTTGAAAGCGACATTCCTACTCTATCCTTGGTGATACTCGAATATCGAGACACGTCCATAGAGTAATAACAAAAACACGTCTGTCAACGGTCAACGATGTCACACACACACTCTCACAACACATTCTCAACAACTACTACGAATAAGTTTACTCAGCCTTCTTTAAACTGTGTATTTGATTAAAGTATTTTAATAAAGTGTGTACTAATAAGTTTACATCATATTAATTGATAACCCAAACCGTTAGTACCACAATTGGTGACCCCGGAATTACCTCGAACACGCAACAATCGATCAATTTCTCGTCATGAACGACATGAACGAAGCGAACCCAACAAATACACCCGCAGCGAGCTCAACACGTGGATCGAGTGGTTATCAAACCACCACCGTTCTGGAAGGCCGATCCGAAACTGTGGTTTTGTCTCAACTGGAAGCACAATTTGCCTCTATCAAGTACACAGCAGACTCTAACTAAATACAACCATGTGCTTAGTGTTGTGGACAATGAGTATTTTAAGTCAAATATCAGAACTACTCCTAAACCCACCTGCGGACAATAAGTACAACGCTATCAAAGACAGATTAATCTCATTTATATTCAGATTCTCAGGAGAAGAAATTAAAACTCTTGTCAGACATGAATCTCGGCGACAAAAACCTTCTTCGCAGCTATTAAATGAGATGACACGTTAGAGGTTCATCAGTTTCATGTGAATTACTGAAAACCCTGTGGATGCAACATTTACCTGCACAGATGCAATCAGTATTAGCCACCAGTAATGACAATCTAGACAATTTGGCGAAAATGGCAGACAAAATCGCAGAGATAACCCCGCAACTGCAGTGCACAACAACGATCCTTCACTTACTGATACCATCCAAAAGCTCTACAAAGAAGTCCAAGAGTTGAAACTACAGCATTCTCATGAGCAATTCCACATCGAAAGGCTCTAAAACACCTCTTCTGCCAGCCCCAGGAGGAGGATGGTGAAGTCTGTTGGTACCATCTTTTATTTCAAGACCTGCAAGATCATGCAGAGCGCCCTTGCAAGAAGGGCCCCATCCAGGAAACGACACTTCACGACGTTAAGTGGCGACGAATCGCTGCAAACCACCAGCCGCCTTACCAACCCTCCTGCTACAGTCAACTCTACCTTCTCTAACAACCATCGGTTAGTTATTAAGGACCCTAAAACAGGTATATCATTTTTAATAGATTCAGGTTCTGATGTTTCCATTTTACCTAAAATGACACGTAATTATGATCAACATAATAAAACTTGTTTATATGCCGCTAATAACACCCTGATTCCCACGTTTGGTACAAAGTGTGTTACTGTCAGCTTGGGTTTAAAACGGAACTTCACCTGGCATTTCGTAATAGCTCAAACTGATACTGCCATTTTAGGAGCAGATTTTCTACATCATTTTCGACTATTAATAGGCCTTCATGGGAAGAAAATTATTGATACTAGCACTAACTTATCTTATCCTGGTAAACTTAAACTTTCCTCATCTGACTCTGTATCAACAATTGACAAAAATTGTAAATATTTTAAGCTACTCGAAGAATATTCCGCCATTACAAAACTTTCGAAAACAGACTCTTATATTCCTCACCAAACTACACACATCATCCCTACAGATGGTCCACCAGTAGTGTCCAAAGCTCGTCGTCTCCCTGCTGATAAGCTTACCATTGCCAAACAAGAATTCCAAACTCTCTTAGACCAGGGAATTTGCCGTCCTTCAAACAGTAGCTGGGCAAGTCCACTGCATCTTGTTAAGAAAAAATCAGGTTCCTGGCGACCTGTTGGCGATTACCGTCGCTTAAATGCCATTACTCGACCCGATAATTACCCCGTGCCTAACCTACAAGATTTTAATCACATTTTACATGGTAAAACAATTTTTAGCACCCTAGACCTTGTTAGAGCATATCATCAAATACCTGTCGATCCCGAATCTATTCCGAAAACAGCCATAATCACACCCTTTGGTTTGTTCGAATTTACTCGTATGCAATTTGGTCTACGCAACGCAGCTCAATCCTTTCAACGTTTCATTCACGAAGTCTTACGCAATCTAGACTTCTGTTTTTCCTATATTGACGACATCCTTATAGCATCCTCTAGTCCAGAGCAGCATGAAGTTCATCTTCGACAAATTTTTCAACGCCTACAACAATATGGTCTCACGATCAATCTCGAAAAATGTGTCTTTGGCGAGAGTTGCATAAAATTTTTAGGTTACGAAATATCTTCGAATGGTACTAGACCACTTCCAGATCGAGTAACAACCATTTTAGACTACCCTCTACCTAAATTCGCTTGTGATTTGAGACGATATCTTGGAATGTTGAACTTCTACCGCCGTTTTACCCCTCATGCAGCTGATCATCAAACTATCCTTCACCAGATGCACAAGAATTGCAAAAAGTCTGATAAAACGCCATTATCATGGACTTCTGAAGCTTTATCTGCATTCGAAAAATCTAAAAATGATTTAGCCAATGCAGCCTTGCTTGTTCATCCTCATTCTTCTTTCCCACTCTCTCTTACAGTGGACGCATCTAACAGCGCTCTAGGAGCTGTTGTTGAACAATACGAAAACGGAATTTGGAAACCCCTTAGTTTTTTTTCACTAAATTCACCCCTTAGCGAAACGAACACATACGACCGTGAACTTCTTGGAATTTATTCGGCTGTAAAATATTTCAAATATTTGTTAGAAGGCCGTAATTTCCAAATATTCACCGACCACAAACCACTCACATACGCTTTTCGACAAAAATCTGACAAAGCTTCACCACGCCAAACACGTCATCTTGATTATAGGTTCGTTCCAACCTGCAATAATATTACGGTAATATTATCGTTAGTAATTGCGTTAATGCGCCTGCGCGAGCGAAACCGGTTAAGTTACTAGGATGAACTTATAAACTGGTTGGAACGTTTTTAGAACTGGGAATACTGGGATGGAAAGTAAACAGCTGGGCTGGCAACACAATAACAATAACCTAAAAAATATTCATCCCAAGTTCCCGAGGTTCCCGAGCAACCCGAGCGTCTTGTTCTTTTCTTTTTTGTCCTTTAGTTTTTGTGCCGGCGTCCATAATGGCAGTAAATTATTTGTTTAATGTTTCTTCTTCAGAAGATGAAGATTTGGATTTTCTTGGGGATATTGCCACAAGAAATGAGAATTTCCTAGGTTTGTTGAGTTTATATAAAAATATATTTTAATAAAATTAATGTTTAATTTAGAAGAAACAGTTTTAAATTATTCGGAAGAAGAATTTTTTTCTAACTTCCGAGTATCCAGACATGTGGCAACTGAACTTAGAGACTCATTTGAAGGGAGTGAGTATTATAAGAATGATAGTGGTCAATTTGGAAAAATTTCTGCTCACAATCATGTAAGTAAATGAATTATTTAAGGTTTTATTGTACAATTTTATTGATAAATATACTAAATTTTCAGATATTAATATTTTTGTGGTTTATTGGGCATGAAGCTGCGAGTTTTGCAGATGTGTCCGATAGATTTAACATAACAAAGTCATCCCTAGAAAGGATTATACAAAGAGTGTCCGTGTTCCTTAGCAATTTGGCCCCTCAAGTCATAGTTTGGCCTAATGCAGCTGAAAAACTAGAAATTGCTGAACATTTCCAAGCCAATGGGTTTCCCAATATTATTGGTGCCATTGATGGATCTCACCTGAAAATTGATAAGCCGGAGAATGACCCGGATTCATACATTAACAGAAAGGGTTATTATTCTGTTCAAGTAAGTTTAGCTTAGATAACTATTATTATTATAAGTATTAGTAGGTACTCATTTGAATCATCTTACAGATGCAAGTTGTTTGTGATCATACACTTAAAATTAGGGATGTATTTATTGGATATCCTGGTTCAGTCCACGATAGTAGGGTATATCGAAACTCTTCTCTGAGCCAAACACTTGCAGAAAAATGTGGACAATATTTTCTCCTTGGAGATAGTGGTTACCCACTTTGTGCTAATCTTTTGACACCTTTCAAGGACCGAGGACAATTGACAGAGGAACAAACTCGTTATAATGTGAGATTAGCAAGAAATCGCTATGTAATTGAGCACTGTTTTGGAGTACTAAAACAGAAATTTAGACAAATGTACCATATAAAATTGCGGAAAATGGAGTACATAGTACATCTCATAAGGGCAGCTTGTGTTTTGCACAATATTGCTTTGGCAGATGAGTTTCTGGAAGAAATTGAAGTGCTACCTGTAGATATGCCCCATGTTATAGATGATCCTGATGATGAAATGGATTTGGATGGTGATCGAGATGCACAAAGAGCTAGAAATTTTGTTGTAAATAATTTACATTAAAAGTACTGTTTATAATATTTTTCAAAATAAATTTTTTTTAATTATTTTGTCAAAGTCTATCACAAACTTCAATATCAAATGAAACATGCAAATTTTTATTTAAAAAAAAATAAACAAATAGAGATTCATTAATATCAAATTAAAAAACAACAAAATAAATAACTACCATAAATTAACAAATAGGAACTCTTAACTTATGTAATTAAAGAAAAACAAATAAATAAATCAATACTCCCTATAGGGTTTCATATATATGACAATTGCACTTTTTTGTTAAAAGAATATTGTTTCTCTCTTTTTCAATTTCATTTCTCTCTCTCTCAATTTCATTTCGTTCACGAAGCAAACTTAATTGGTCTTGATGAACCTGTTGAAGAAACCGATTTCTGTTTTCTTGGTAAGAAAGCCGGTCCTCTCGGATCTGCTGTAGTACTGTTTTCCTGGTCTTCCTTCTTATCACTTTTTTTGGTGTTTCAGCAGTTTCTTGGCCTTGGCCTTGCTCAACATTTTCTTGCTTTGGCATGTGAATTTCATTTGCTAGTAAAATTTCTGGCCTTATATTCTTTTTGTTACCACAAGCTTCTTCCATTTCCGACGCAAACTCAAAGAACTTTCTACCACGTCCTGTTGAATTTTTATTGTCAACATATTTTTTGAAATTGCGGTCAAGTACTTTCCACCTGTTTTCAACATTTTTGGATGTTACTGTTTTCTGCAATATTTCTGAAATCTCATTTGCTATTTTCTCCCACATAGTTTTAAAATTCTTCATCCCCATTGTTCCCACTTTGCTTTTATATTTTTTGTACAAGTCGATTAAGAGCCTTGTATTGTTGTTGGTCCAAAAAAAAAGCTCTACAGCAGATGCAGCAGCAGAAGTAGTAGTAGAAGGCGGATTATTTTCATTTTCTACCACAATAACGAATTCTTCCATGCCTGCTCATATAAGATAAAAATGGTATTTATTTAACAAAAATATATATAATTAGTAAATTACCTTCCATATTCATATTTGTAATTTTTAAATACTTTAAATAAATAGAGAAAGTCGTTCTTAAATTTTTCCAAACAAAAAAGATAAACAAAAACAACTCCCTAACCTAGTTTATACTATACTACCCAGCTGACCGCTATTTCGACCTTACTGCGCATGCCTCTAATTTTAGAACCAACAGTTCTTGCTCTCAAGGCAGAATCGTTTGAACCGTAATTTTACCATCGATAATTCCGGTTGGAACGACGAACTGACGATAATCACAAGTTCTGAATTTGTAATTTTGGCCGGTTGGAACGACATTGTACGAATGCGCATGCCTGACGGTAATATTACTGGAAATTACTGCTGGTTGGAATGAACCTTATATTCACAGCTTCATTGAGGAACCAGGTACCAAATATTGTCGCAGATGCCTTTCATCGATTAATTCTATTAATTCCTCCAGATGTATCGATTACGATGAATTTCAGAGACATCAAAAAGATGATCCTGAACCAACAAATTTTCAAAACCCCTAACTCAACTTCCTCTCTATCGCTTAAAGAGTGTACCTTTGCAGACACTTCTACGTTTCTTTGTGATTGTAGTCAATCACACATTAGGCTGACAAATTTTAAGCTTCAGACAGCTTATTTTCAAAAAATCCATAACCTTTCTCTCTCATCCAGGCATACGAGCTACTAATAAATTGATATCTTCATCGCTTCGTTTGGCCTTCGATGAATAAAGACATCAAAGTATGGACACAGCGTATAACATGCCAACAGTCCAAAATACATAGACATGGGCTCCTTACACCATATCAACAATTTCAACAATTCGAAGAACGATTTCAGATTGTAAATATCGACATTATTGGTCCCTTACTCCTCTCTAATGGTCATTTTGCCTGCTTGTATTGACCGATTTTCTTGTTGGACCGAAGCAATCCCTGGCGAATAACGCTAAACCATTCGCATCCGCTCTTTTATTCTGGTTGATATGCCGTTTGGAACTCCACTACAAATTGTTACTCGACCAAGGTCGTCAATTCGAAAGTTCTATTTCAAAGTCTCAGCATATTAATGGATAGCGAGTTCGATCTTCACCATACAATCCCCAAATGTAATGGAAAGATTGAACGATGGCATCGAACTTTAAAGCCGCTATAATGGCGCATTCTTCTCTCCACAATGGACAGAAGTTTTACCCACGATACCGTTAGGATTACGTGCTACTCTCGCTCAGACGTGGAAGTTTCCCGCTGAACTAGTTTTCATGGTTCTTCCATATTGCTTTCACGAAGAATTTTTTCAACCCTACACTGACCTCTAGGGACATTCCCGCCGTTACAAAACAAATGGAACAGCTAAGACCTGTACCTGATAGTAACTTAATTTAGTTCAAAACCTTTTTATATCACCCGAATTGGAGAAATGTACTCATGTATTTTTACGAAGAGATTCTGCAGGAAAACTCTAACCTCCTTATGATGGACCTATCGTGTAATATCTCTCTATTACGAGAAGTATTTCAACATTGCAATCAATGGTAAAAACGTTAACATTTCTAAAGATAGACTCAAACCTGCATGATACTTCTGTATCTGACAATATTTCATGATCACTTACTGTAAAGAACTGTCTTCGTTAAAACTAGCAATGTATAACATTCGAAAAACAAGTTCGCTTTTATTTATAGAATAATCTTTGGTATTAGTATTACACTAGTTTAAGTAAATACATACATTTACATTTACATACAAATGTTTAGTCATATCACCCTTTTATTGTATTAATGGCTATTATGCCTGTAATATCCTATACTATTTTCTTACCAACCTGTTTTTAGGGGGAGGCTGCAGACAATGTTGAAAGCGACATTCTACTTCTATCCTTGGTGATACCTACATTTATATCACGTCCATAGAGTAATAACAAAAAAACACGTCTGTCAAGGTCAACGATGTCACACACACACCTTCACAACACATTCTCAACAACTACTACGAATAAGTTTACTCAGCCTTCTTTAAACTGTGTATTTGATTAAAGTATTTTAATAAAGTGTGTACTAATAAGTTTACATCATATTAATTGATAACCCAAACCGTTAGTACCACAGTCGTTTGAAGTGTCAATCAGTGTCGCTGTCGACACGACGCAGTTCTGAGAACGGGGCTTTAAATACAGCACTGTACAGTGTACACTGTACAGTACCATACTACAACTACAGTACAACCTGTTGTACAAATATCAGTGCTAATCAGTACTAATCACGTACTAACTGGTACTAATTACTAATCGAATTTTTAAATTCTAATACCTAGACCGTAGACGCATCGTAGACGTAAAAAATAAAAAATATACAAATATGACAGAAAATACAAGGGTCCTAGGGTTGGCTCATGGTTGACTACAGTTGACTACATAGTTAACTACATAGTTGACTTGCATATAGGTATATATGCAAGTATATATGGTATACTCAAGGTCGAAACACAAATATAAGTACAATTCGGTAATGGTGTGGATCCGGTGGCTGACCTTGAAGCCCATATTTGCTGCATTTGATCACAGATACTACGCAAGCGCACAACGTCGACGTTGTCAAGTCGCAGATTATTTTCGAATTATTTTCAGTAGAAAACATATGTTTTTTGAGTGTTCAAATAAAGTAATAATACAAATTCTATGATTTATTTTATAATTTAAGATTTATCTTGATATCAAAAATTAAAGCAACAACGATAATAGAGACTTTGAAGTTAAGGTATTATGATTGTAATCGGAGTTATAAGTAATATTATCTCATTTATTTATATATTTGCATTAGAAGTAAAAATTGTAATATACGGATTTTTTCTTATTGATTAAAAAAAAAACCTTTTAGAATTATATTTGTATTATCAATATGATGACATTTATTATATCCATGTTGTTTAACTTCTAGTTATTTACAGGCAACAATAGTTTTGATTATATGTATGGAAGTACCTACTACCATCACGAAGACCTAGGATACTTCAAATACCAATTTGATAATTTTTAAAGACATAAATTACAATGATAAAACTTAGTAAAGAGGTAACAGGGTACCTATTCTTACCCAATATGCTTTAATCTATGAGTCTTAAGGGGTGAGCAGTATTCCATCCCGTGATTGATATTCCAGGATAAGATTGAAGACATAGAGGACATGGAATAAGTGAGACCGCGCTCATGCCTGGGTAACACGAATCAGGGATTTGTATGATGCGAAAACATTGTTTGCATTGTTGCACTTACTTACAACAGTTGACCCAACGTACTATAGCATATTATGGGACATGAAGAATAGCATAATACATATCAATGAGATAGAGGTAACATTTTACCTAGTTTATCTATTATACCTACTATTTTACCTAGATTATAATGTTTGTATCATAATTTATTAAAAATATCAAGTTAGTGAATTAATAGTAGTAGTAGTACCGTATGATCGAAAAAAAACGGAGTCTAGTTGGCTATGAAATGAAGATCGCTGTCATTTTATATGTAAAATTATATGGAAAATGTCATCGATGTTCATTTCCAAGCCAACTGGACTCCGTTTTTTTTCGATCATACGGTATTAGTAATTGTAGGCATACTGTTTATCGAAGAATGCTGATAGGATTAAAATAAGCTTTATGTTTTATCTTTTACTCTTTAGAACGTAGATGGTTTATGTCGTAGAATACATAACAGTATTTAATATCCTGCAGTTTGATATTATTTTCTTACTTTACTGTAATTTCTTGTTTCCTGTACTTCAAAATAAAATCTTAATAATATGGTGAAGCGTTTTTGAGCGTATTATTTTTTATAATATTTTTATGATATTTTTATGTCAATACTACATATTATGCTTTGTTTTGTGGAAAATAAATTTTTAGTTGTATCCTTATCCTTTGTTTATCCTTCTATTAGGAAAATATAGTTTATACAATGTATATTTTTATATTTTAGATATGCTAAGAACATCACATAAATTCGATTAAGAATAGAAATCTTTAGGTAGCAGAAATATTAATGCATGTCTAAGCAAGATTAAATAAGGTAATTGGTCGCTGCTGATTATAAACATGATATGGAACTAGAGCATTTAAAAATTTTCAAAAAAAAGAAGAAACTTTGACACACCCTTTAAATTTTTGAATTTTAATAAAGCACTTTAAAACGATGCTAATTTAGAGTTTTATTTCAGTTTAATTTACGACGATGAAAATACCGTGGTGGATGAGGAAAAAACGGTGCTTAGTTGCCTGAAATGACGACATTGATAACATTCCTCCATATAGTAATTTTACATACAAATAAAATACATACAAAAATGGCAGCGATCTTCATTTCATAGCCATCGCTGACGCCGTTTTTATTCGATCATACGGTATATGTAGTATAAGGGTAGCTAAGACATAAAAATATCATAAAAATATTATAAAAATAATATGCTCAAAACTCAACCTTCACCATATTGTCAAGA